CTCAGGAGGCTGAGGCAGGAGAATTGCCTGAACCCAGGAGGCGGAGGTTGCAGTGAGCCGAGATCGCGCCATTGCACTCCAGCCTGGGTAACGAGTGAAACTCCGTCTCAAAAAAAAAAAGAAAATATGTATAATAAAAAGTTTTAAAAATGGTCAGAACATGATTATAAAATATAGGGATATATTTTAATTGCTTTCTATTTTAAATTTATACTTTTTTAACGAAATGTTTAATGCAATATTTGTGTGTATTTACAAGATAAAGAATACATAAAAATTAATTCATAGTACATTGAAAGAAGTGATTTCTGATTACATGAATTGCAAACAGTTTTAAAGATCTATGACGAGTTTTGTTTTCTTCCAGTTCTGGTGTTACAACTTTTTGTTTATATAGCCTCACATGGATATGATATTGAAAGTCTGAATTAGAGACTTGTTTAACCCTTTCTGTAATGGACATTTAAAGTGACTCTGATAATTATTACTGTTTTCCATTAATAACAGTGAAGTTTAAACAGGTGCTTAGACAGAGGCAGGGTCTGGGTTTGTTTGAACTTCTTTAGATCTTATGATACTGATTTTTGCTATGTGCTAATAAGTGGAGGGATAAAGTACACTTTTGTATTTGACAAATTTTTTTTTTTGAGACGGAGTCTCACTCTGTCGCCCAAGCGGGAGTGCAATAGCATGATCTCGTCTCACTGCAACCTCCGCCTCCCAGATTCCAGTGTTTCTCCTGCCTCAGCCTCCCAAGTAGCTGGCATTACAGGCACTCACCACCATGCCCGACTAATTTTTTTGTATTTTTAGTAGAGACGGGCTTTTACCATGTTTGCCAGGCTGGTTGTGAACTCTGACCTCAGGTGATCACCTGCCTCAGCCTCCCAAAGTGCTGGGATTACAGACAGCCACAGCACCCGGCCTACATTTGACAATTTTTATAAGTTGTTACGGTCTTTGTGAACAGCTGAGTATTGGTCAGTCATATGCATTCTCCTGTTTTGTTTTATTTTCACATCACAGTTATTTTTGTCATAATTATAGGGCATTTTGAAGACCTGGGACATCATCTTTTTTGCATTTTCTAATTTGGAAAGAAAGAAGTGAGCATTTGATGATTTGAATTGTCAAGAATTGCAAAGGAATAAGTGTTATTCACACTGTAAGAGGGTATAAATAGGCACAAAGTGGTACTTTGAATATAAAGCATCTTCACAAGTTTAGCAATAGGATTTGTTATGTGGTAAGCCTGCAGTGGGAAATTTTAAAAGGAAAGGAAAGGGAAATAAGAAAGGTACTAACATATATTTAGAACCTATATGTGCTACATTTTACACATATTATCTCCTTTAATCTTCATAAAAGCCTTATGAAGGGAGTACTGTATTAGCATTTCTATTTTACATATGAGAAAAACTAAGGCCTAGAGAGTTTAAATTATTCCCATAAGGTCATCTGACTAGACAATAATCAAGTTGAAATAGGAACATGGAAGTGCCACATTAAAGAAAATTACATGTAAATACACAAATGGAACCTTTTAATGAGTATTTAGCTGGAACATTATATAGAATATATATTATAAATCACCTTACTTTGTCTCTTTACAGTTAGGCAGGTCATACAGATTCTGCCATATGATGTCAGTTGTAACCATTAGGCATATAAACCTTGAGGTCACTCTTTAAACAGATTAAAATGTGTTTGGCTGTTGTTGCAAAAGTTGAGTGGCTCAATTTTCTGAATTTGGATATGAATGATATAGTCCTTCCCAGAAAAGTGTACATTAATGTTTGTTTTTCCATTCATACATTTATGTATTTATGTATTTATTTTTTGAGATACAGTTTCACTCTTGTTGCCCAGGCTGGAATGCAGTGGTACAATCTCTGCTCACTGCAACATCTGCCTCTTGGGTTCAAGCAATTCTCCTGCCTCAGCTTCCTGAGTATCTGGGATTACAGGCACCTGCCATCATGCCTGGCTAATTTTTATATTTTTAGTGGAGATGGGGTTCACCATGTTGGTCAGGCTATTCTCAAACTCTTGACCTCAGGTGATCCACCCACCTTGGCCACCCAAAGTGCTGGGATTACACGTATGAGCTACTGTGCCCAGCTCCATTCATACATTTATTTTATTATTATTTTTTCATTTATTTATTTATGCAGTAACTTTACTTTTCAAGGAAGCAATAAGCAAATGTTTACTGAGTATTATGTTTCAGACATAACATTGAAGATACCAGTATTAAAAATAATTTAACCCATTATTCTATGGAGTTTACATTCTAGTGTGGGGAAATGAAGACTAAGTTCAATCGGTATAGTAGATTGTGTTGTGATAATAAAGATATACGGCATATGGCAAGATATTTCAGCAGTATAATAATTTAAGTTCAAGTGTGCAAATATGTAATTCTCTTAATTTTTAGAACGGACTTTACTTTTTTACTCTAAGCCTAACTTAGAGAACTGGGGAAGGTACTTAGAAGATATTTGGAACATGGTGGGGTATTTTTAGTTGTCGGAATGACGGAGCTTGCTACTGGCATTTAGCACCTGTGCATACCAAGACTGCTAAGCATCTTGCTATGCACAGGACAGTACTGTCCTATGAAGAATTGACCCACCTAAAATGCCAAGAGTACCCCTGTTGAGAAGCACTGACTAACCTGGTTCATGGTAGACAATTTCATCTGGATCTTTTCAGGCAAATTGATTATTATCCAATTTCAAATTCAGGATTATTAGACTATTCCTAGCCTGGTTCAAATCGCTTAGATTCTGCCCATCTCCTCTGTGATACTAGTTCTTATGTCTTACGAATCTCACTATGTCATAGACTGTCTTTGAAGAGTCATCTACTTTTCTAGCTAACTCCAGTGCTTTGCTCTAATCCCATTGGAAATGTAAAGGATCTCTCTATACTGTTCTACAGCCTGTGGGATATTGAGAAGGATGGGTATCCTTGGGTTCTTCTGTTTACTGTGTTTGCTGCTCCCTTGCTTGCTTTTTTTTTTTTTTTTTTTTTTTTTTTTTTTTTTTTTTTTTTTTTTTTTTTTTTTTTTTTTTTTTTTTTTTTTTTTAAAAAAAAAAAAAATGCAATTATTATCCCAAAGCCTAACTCACTACTTCTGAATGTTCTCAACTATATTAGTTTGCTAGAGTTAGCAAAATACCACAAATTGGCCAGCTTAAGCAGAAATTTATTATCTCACAGTTGTGAAGATTAGAAGTCTGAAATCAAGGAGAAAGCAGGGTTGGTTCCTCCTGAGGGCTGTATGGAAAGGATCTCTTCCATGTTGCTCTCCTTGATTTATAGATGGACATTTTCATGTTCATATGGTATTCTTCTTGTATGCATACCTGTGTCCAAATTTGCCCTTTTTATATAAGGGTATCAGTCATATTGGATTAGGAGACTACCCCAATCACTTCATTTTATTTTGATTACCTCTGTGAAGACCCTGTCTTCAAATAAGGTCACATTCTGAGGTATTAGGAGTTAAGACTTCAATTCAGCTTAAGTATTCTTGTGGGATACAGTTCAATCCATAAAACTAATGATATTCTTTTCTTTTTTTATAATTTAAAAAATACAGAAAATCAAAATTAAAATATCCCAATACAACATTTAAAAAATTATATAAAGTAAAAGGAGAGAAAGAAAAAGCCAGCTGCAGTGTCTCATGCCTGTAATCCCAGCACTTTGGGAGGCTGAGGCGGGCAGATCACTTCAGGTCAGGAGTACGAGACCAGTCTGGCCAACTGGCGAAACCCTATCTCTACTAAAAATACAAAAAAAAAAAAAAAAAAAAAAAAAAAAAGATTGCTGGACATGGTGATGCACACCTGTAATCTCAGCTGTTTAGGAGGCTGAAGCACAAGAATCACTTGAACCTGGGAGGCAAAGATTGCAGTGAGCTGAGATGGTGCCACTGCACTCTAGCCTGGGCAGCATAGCAAGACCATGTATAAAAAAAATAAAATAAAAAGGCCCTACTTCCATTCTGATCTAATTCTCCGACTTGGCTATATTTTTCTTTTCCATGTCAGTCAGTACATACAGAACTATCTCGTTTTTTTTACTGGAACAGTATTCCATTTTATGGGTATATTGCAGTTTAATTAGCTGTTACACTACTGACGAGCACTTAGGTTGTTTACAACTTTTATTATAAACAATACAGAGTTTTGTATATTATAAACAAAACAGTTCTTGTATACATCTGTTTGCATCTGTGGATGTTTTCAGTAAGATAACATTTTAAAACTATGTGTTGAGTCATACTGAATAAACACAATTTTAAAAGATATTGTCAAATTAATCTACCAGTGTATATTACTACCAGCAGAATATGAGAACTATACCTTAACCACTGTTAGATATTACCAGTGTTTTAAAAAAAAAATCTTTGCTAGTCTCATAAAAAAAAAAAAAAGTGTATCTCATTGTTTTATCTTGTCATGAGTTGTATATACTGTATCTATTGGGCATTTTATTTATTTTTTCTATGTATTTACCAATGTGAGTTCTTTGCCTTATTTCCTTGGAGGTATTTGTTGGTTATTGAAGCTACTGTTTTAATAATAAATTAATGTTGTTTATAATAATTGCAATAGCTCATTAAGGTTTCCCAGATCCATTCTTGCTCTCTTCCTTGTTTTCAGTGTGCCCCCCCCGCCCCCCAGCTGTGGCTATTCAGATCTGATCATGTCTTTCTCTGTGATTAAAATGCTTAAGCGGGGGCCAGGAACGGTGGCTCACACCTGTTATCTCAGCACTTTAGGAGGCCAAGGCAGGCAGATCACCTGACTTGAGGAGTTCGAGACCAGCCTGGCCAGCATGGTGAAACCCCATCTCTACTAAAAATACAAAAATTAGCCGAGCATGGTGGCACATGCCTATAATCCCAACTACTTGGGAGGCTGAGGCAGGAGAATTGCTTGAACCCTGGAGGTGGAGGTTGCAATGAGCCGAGATCACGCCATTGCACTCTAGCCTAGGCGACAGAGCAAGACTCTATCTCAAAAAAAAAAAAAAAAAACAACTTAAGGGCTTTCCCATTTCTCTATTAAAAAGGCCAAAACAGATCCTACAGAGCCTTTGCTTAGTGTAGCCTCAGCTTATTCCATGCAATCCCCTAACACTTGGGGCCTCAAGTCATATTAACTTTTTTTAGTTCTTTGGTGGGTTCATGCTTCTTCATCTAATAGAAACTGTGCACATACTATTTCCTCTACTTT